GAGAAAATGGGTGGGGAAAAGATTTTCAAATTCTCTGATTCTCTGTTTTCTTGCATTCAACCAAGTATTTGCATATTGTGGCTGTGCATTGGCCCTCCATTCCCAATTTTAGACATGCATTCTCTTCCAGAAGAGATTGTAGTTGAATGCAATGAAGGATCAGGCAACATGTTCTATTATATTTTAGGCTATATGGGATTTTTGGCTCTCATCACCTACATTTTTGCTTTCTTTGCTCGAAAACTTCCAGACTCTTTTAATGAAGCCAAATTTATTGCTTTCAGCATGCTGGTATTTTGTAGTGTATGGGTGTCTTTTGTCCCAACTTATCTGAGCACGAAAGGAAAATACATGGTAGCTGTAGAGATCTTTTCCATCTTGACTTCCAGTATAGGAATATTGGGCTCTATCTTTTTCCCTAAATGCTACATAATTTTACTGAGACCAGAACTCAACACAAAGGACCAGCTAAAAACAAAAAAATAACAATTATAGATATTCATTTTATTTTGAAGAATTTACTAGTGCCCTTGGGAAGAAAGTTGGAGAGGTAAAATGTTGATCAGTCAGGAGGAACTAGAATGTGTAAGAAAAAGACTCAGAATACCCCTAACTTGACCTCACTGCTCTTCAAATGGGGAAAATGGATTTTTGGCTTAGGTTTCAACTGTCTGTTACTATTGCCTAAAACAATAAAGTAATATTCCTTGAATTCCTGCACCATCAGTTTCATGACCTGGCGTACTTGAAAAAGTTGATCATTAAAAAGTAACATATTCGATTATAATATTTCTGGTTCAAATCTTAAACCAACTCATCTTTGCTGCCAGATGAAGACAAAATACTGTATTTATCTCCCTGTATAAATTTTATGTTTTATAAAAATAGCAATAACATTTAATCTTACATACCGCTCCTTGGTGCTTTACAGGATTCTGAGAACTTTATGAGATCAGAATATTTTCCCCGTCAATCTATTCCTCATTTTACTGACCTTGGAAGGATAGAAGTCTGTCAACCTCAAACAATCAGGATCAAACCCGCTGTGGGCAGAGTTACCCTGCAATACTGCATTCTAATCACTGTGCTACTAGGACTCATACCGCCAATGACTGCCACCTTCTCTTCAACCAGGAGCCAAGAATCCAGGGGGAATCCCAAATTACATCTGGGATCCATTTTGTCAGTGCAACCTCATCCTATATCATAGTCCTAGAACTGACAGGTCCCAAATTGTAAAGCCATTCAGTTGCCAGGGTTCAGTTGAATATTATCTTTCCCTATAGAGATGTTCACAGTATCCAAGCATTAGGATAAGTCTTAGGATTTGCATTTCCTCTTTTGCCTATAGAGCCAGCTATGAATCCTACATAATAGCAATAGCACTTAGAGTTACATACTGCTTTACAGTGCTTTACAGCCCTCTCTAAATGGTTTATTGTGTAGCATATTGTCCCCAATATTTTGGGTTTTCATTTTATCGACCTTGGAAGGATAAAAGGCTGAGTCAACCTTGAGCCTGGTGAGATTTGAACTGCCAAATTGCAGGCAGCTGGCAGGCAGCAGAAGTAGCCTGTAGTACTGCACTCTAACCACTGCACCCCTAATGGCTTGTAGCCCCTATATAACTCCCTAGGAATCTGACAACAGCCAATACAACATTAAAGGAGATGTTCAATCACATGGTTTGATGACTTGGAGGCTCATGTCATTCATCAACCCAGAAAAAAAATATGACCCACTCTGTGTTACTTTGAGAATATGGATTAAAAGTGAACTCATTGAAATGAGGTAAAAGATCCAAGCAGTCTTTTATTTTGTAACTGTGTTGAAAATGTGCCTCTCCAAGGTTTTAGAACTTTTTGTTCTAAAATTTATTGACTTTGTAACTTAAAAATTTATTTCCAATGATATTTCTTTATTATTTGCTTAGTTATGAGGCTTTGCACTTTACTGCTCCAATCCAAAAGGACTTTCCGAAACTTACACACCTGCACCTCTTAGGACATTTAAACCAAACATCATGATAAAATTGAACTATAAATACAATAACTGAAAGTAATTAAAGACCCTCCCAGTAGAATAAAGGGGGAGGGAGTCTACAAAAGGACGCACTTGTCTTTGGCTTTTTGGATCAATCATTTTTTTAATGCGCTTCCAAGAATTTATCAGAGTGGGAGACAATATTCTATTGTTGAAGAGAATTCCATCTTTACAGCCAGAGAATTAGTTTAAAAAAAAATTAATAATATTTTTTTCATTGTAATGTTTTTTTTACCATCTAGCTCATATATAATTGGCAGTTATAGGCTATTTGGTTCAGAGCATTGATTTCCTCATTCTATTTCTTACTCAAAGACTCTAAGGAGCTTCACTTTCGATTGATCTTATAATTAGCAGCAGAGTCTTGGTAATGCAACTTCTTCTCAAATCCTTAGGGATGTCCAAGGAACAACCCCCCCGAAAAAGCGTGAAGACTGAAAGATGCTATTATTTGTGGAACCAGAGGGGTAGAAATGTCACAATCTGAGAAAGAATATATATGCAGACTATTCTAAATAATGAGAGCTTCTTCTTTTTTTAATGTTTCATTGTTGCAGATGGAACTGGTTCGTATCTGGTGATGAAAGTCTTCTTGAAAAAGATGGCATTTTTCATGGCAGTAATGGCAATCCTATTGCCAGGGGTTCCATGCCTTATTCCTCATACTAAAACATGTGCTATGGGGAAACCTCAATTTATTAAGCACAAATATTTTCTGCCAGGAGATTTCACGATAGCTGGGATACTCTCTCAGTTCTACATGGCATCTGATCGAGTGGATTTCACAAGACATCCATCTGAAGAACTGGTTGATGAGATCATGTAAAGACTTTCTCTTTTTAGCTGTAGTATGTCTCAAACCAGATATCTTTCTCTAAGAAGATGCCTGGACTGAATTAATTAGTGGTACTGCTTGCAGCACAAATTATTTCTCCTGGTTTCCTGCTGGTTAGTTCCTTCATTCTTAAGCTAATAGAAATGGATTCCCACTGATATTTCTTACTGGCAAATAAATAACAAATACACAGCTTAAGGCAGATTTCACTGCAATGCTTCTGTTCAAATTCTATATTAGGCTTTTCTCATTTTCTTACTGTGGAATGAATCTTCAGTGCTCTACTTTTGAAACACTTTTTATAGCTGATTGAATGTCAACCTTTAACAGTTTAATTTTTTTTTCTGAATATTAGGGAACAATGGCACTATGTAGTACTTTTAATTTGTTTGTTCAGCATGTATGGAGTACAAACGTACGGCTGCCCTAATGGAACAGTTGTATCTTTTCCTAGGATAAGGAATTCCAGAAAAAGAATTACATACATCGTTTATATGGAATATATAAAGAATGGTTGCAGGAATTGGGTATATTTAGTTTAATGTTCCAATATCAAAAGGGCTGCCACAAAGAATAGGGGGTCAACTTATTCTCCAAAGCATCTGAATGTAGGACAAGAAGCAATGGATGGAAATTAATCAAGGATACAAGCATCCTAGAATAAAGAGAAATTTTTCTAGCTTGCTTTACTTCCACCCACTTTAGGCACAGGAGTTAAGGAGTTTAAATCTGTAATGTTGGAGGAAAAAACCACCCCAAACTTTGTTGCTCCAGTTATCTTGTAAGTGAGGGAGGAGAAGAAGTAATAGATAGAAACTAATTGAGGAGAGAAGCAACCTAGAACTAAGGAGAAATGTCCTGACAGTGAGAACAATTAACCAGTGGAATAATTTGCCTCTATAAGTTGTGGATGCTTCAACACTGGTTTTTTTTAAGAAGAATTTATCTGAAATGGCATAGGGTTTCCTGCTTGACCATACAGTTGGACTAGAAGACTACAGTTGGACTACAGTTGGACTTCCAAAGTCCCTTTCAACTCTGTTATTCTATTTGCTCTCAAGTAACGTTTAAAACATATTTCTTCCTTTACCCATAAAAGGTGAAGATTGAAGAGCTAAAGATACAAGACTTAGAAGTAGGTCTGGGGTAAATCATAATGTTATTATCAATAAAGCAATCCATCAGTTTTCTAGTGAATAACTTTTAGGAATCATAATACCTGGCTTAAAAAAATAATGTATTGTCCTGACCGTTTCTCCTTTCATCAAAAATTAATGTTTTAGAACACTCTTTGGGGTGCTAATACATTCACATGATTTCTTGCATGGTATTATGCAATCTCTTTTTTTCTGTGTAGCATTTAGCTTAACTGTAAATAAAGTTTATGTAATGCCACATTTTTTAAGAGAAGAAATATGATTTGTAATGTATTTATGTAGACTTTTTCTACAGAATTACCAACATATCCTGGCCTTAGTTTTTGCAGTAAAGGAGATCAGTGAAAACAATCATATTTTATTCAACATGACTCTGGGTATGCACCTCTCTAACAGTTATTTCATGGCAAGATGGACCTACTTGGCTTCAATGGAGCTCCTTTCAACACGCGGTAGATTTACCCCCAATTATAAGTGTGATTCCAAGGACTGGGTAGTATCAGTTATTGCAGGACCTAACTCTCACATCTTTCCCTTCATGGCAAACATTTTGAATGTCTACAAGGTGCCTCAGGTAAGATTTACTCTTGAAATACATATCATGGGCTATGACAATAACTTTGAGAGATAGAAGGAAGAACTGTATCCTAGACAATGATTGGTTAAGAAAAAATCTGATCCCAAACCGATTTGAGAAAACATCTCAGAATTGACTCCAGGAAGGAAGGAAGGAAGGAAGGAAGGAAGGAAGGAAGGAAGGAAGGAAGGAAGGAGGAAGGAAGGAGGAAGGAAGGAGGAAGGAAAAAAAGGAAGGAAAGAAAAGGGAGGGTCATTCTGTAATATAAAGATCAAGATAAATATTCCGAAATACTAATACATTGAATTGCTTAATCAAGTCCATGAATACTTAATATTATTATTAAAACATGGTGAGAAAAAAGAATTGATGAAAATATATTAACATTTCTATTAGGTGTATTTATAAGTTAAGGAATCATAGTATTTTAATTAGTTTGGATTCAGTTTTAATAGTAAATCGAGTATAGTACCTAAACATACCTATTTCATATGGTCGCCATTACATTATTCATCTGGTTGATGATTTGTGTTATTTTTTTAGTGTAACTTTATTACATTAAAACAGGTAGAGGGAAAATTCTTTCAGACGTGGAAGATTGTGGTTTCAGGGTTTGGATTATCTCAAATGATTGACCTTAATCTTGCCCACCTAAACTTGCTTACTCAGTTGTCTTTATTGCCATGAAGGAGGTTGAGTCAATTCTGAAATGGTTATAACATCTCCTGAATGAGATGGCTATAACATTCTTGTTTTAATTGTTTTTATTAAAGTCTATTACATGGCAAAATATATAATAGATATTATTAATATCAAGAAATATAAAGACAAAAAGATAAAGTCAAGAAAAATTGAGAAAGATAAAGGAAAAGGAAAGAAAGAAAGGCATAGAGAGAAAAATAAAAACCAGTGGTTTTAGTTTTTTTAAATCACAGTACAGAATATGAAAAAGCTACGACCTCAACATTTCTTTACATTTCCAGTTAATTCAAACCATTTCTATAACAACAAAGTTGATCAAATCATCAAAATGTAAAATCAAAGTTTCCTTTTTTTTCCATTTTAATTGTAAATTCAAAAGTGGTTTCCAGGTGGAAACAAAACTCAGTAAATTGTTCCCTTTAATTAAAGCTGTCAATTTTGCCATCTCTGTCATCTTGGTCACAAATTAACACATTGCTGTCTTCAACTTTGCAACTATGGTACTTCTAAACATCAGATTTTTATGAACAAGATTAAATATATATTAATGTTTGCATTAATGTTTACAATAAGAACCATGAATTAGGAACAGATTTTTCAAAAATAATAAATGCTTCATTTTGGAAAATCATGTCCCCCTCCTTTTTTCCCCACATTTAGCTGATATATGGATCTTCTCCAATGACAGATGACCAGATACAAGCTGCTTTCTTCCATCGATTTTTCCCAGATGGTGATCAACAGATTGTGGGTATTCTCCAGTTGCTATTATATTTTAGGTGGATATGGATTGGACTGATATCCCAACCTGATAAGACTGGAGACAGATTCATTCAAAACGCTGTTCCTTTTTTTTCCCAAAATGGTGTCTGCTTTGAGTTCATGGAAGAAATGGCCAAGGAAACATTTTCTAATGATATTGGAGCAGCATTTAAAGATTTTAGTAAAATGTACATTATTATCATGAAGAGCACTGCCAATGTCATTATCCTATATTGTGAAAACCAAGTCACCGTCATTTTTAGAATGTTGCCCTATTTTACAGAATTTGAAGAGATACCCATCGAGAGAAAAGATAAAGTTTGGATAATGCCAGCCCAGATGGAGTTTACATCCCTTCCTTTTCAAAAAACTAGGGGTATGGACTTTTTCCATGGTGTGATATCTTTTGAAGTTGCTTCCAAGGAGATTTCTGGATTTAATAAATTCCTTCAGATGAGAAACCCAACTTCAGAAGTGGAAGACCATTTAATGAGAGTGTTCTGGGAACAGGCTTTTGAATGCTCTTTTCCTAAAGATAAGTTAGATGAAGACACTGGAATGCTGTGCACTGGTGGAGAGAAGTTGGAGAATCTACCTAAGTCTGTCTTTGACACCACCATGACTGGACAGAGTTACAGCATCTACAATGCAGTTTATGCTGTGGCACATGCTTTACAAGCCATGTTTTCCCCCAAACACAGAACAAGAGCAAAAGTTGGGAGAGAAATTTTTTTGACCCCAAAAGCATGGCAGGTAATAAGAGATTGAATGAACATTTCCCATTGGTCTTCTCTCTAAGGCAGTGCTGTGTCCTACTATTATGGATATATCGGAGTGTTGATTTTAAGTCTCCTGCTACTCCGTTTTCCAAACCTTTTGGGGACCTTGAGAAACCTTTGTAACTGTGAATTGGTACAACAGTGATACAACAATATAGAGGAAAGAATTAAGATGCAGCAAAATCTGCCTGTTTGGAACAACTTCAGAACATCGGTGGCAGGGGAGAAACATGAAGGATGCAAGAACAATAATTCATTTAATTAACCCAGTTGTATTAAAACAATGTCCATAATTTAGTACCTTTGAAATTGATCTCCATCCCTTCCTTCTTTCTCCCTCTCCCTCTCCCCACACTCCCTCTCCCTTCCCATCCCTTTTTTTGAAATTACCAACATTTGCTTCTTTTAAGTTACATCGCTATTTGAGAACCACGTCATTTAATAACACTGCAGGACAGAAAATTTCATTTAATGAAAATGGGGATTTAGACACTGGATTTGACATTATCAACTGGGTCACCTTCCCCAATGAGACATTTGTTAAATTCAAAGTTGGAAAGATTGACCCAGCAGCTTCTCCAGATAAGCTATTCACCATAAAAGACATCACCTGGCCTACCATGTTTAACCAGGTATTTCCTGCTCAGATGTCAAACTGTGTGTTCTTCCCCATCCCTTCTTGCTTCCAGAATTATTAATTTGAATGGATCTCATCCTTTAAGTTGTTAAGTTGAAAACTGCAAAGATAATAATAAGAAATAATATCTTCATATTATGACCAGAGATTTTGAAATACAAAGACTTCAATCTCTGTATAGAAAAATAATTTACTGATATATTCTCATTAACTCTTTATGGTTTTAGCAGAATTTACAGCTGCTGTCTACTCCTGCTGGCATTTCAAGCTTGTCTAGTTTAAATACATATTTGAAAGTTGCTAAAGTAATTAAAGCTATTTATCATATAATTCACCAAGTAGTACAAAACATAAGAAATATCTCAATTTGTCTATTAAACAGTCTCATTTATCTGAACATGCGCCCCCCCCCCCAAAAAAAATAGCATTTTCCCCTTAGTTTTCTCTTTTCTTAAATGGCATGTCCAGGTTTTCCATTTACTAATCA